TTATATTTAAGCCCATTTATAATTCATAATTAAGAATTTAAAAATTAAAAGACCACCAATAAAAAATAAATGCATTTTTCATATGAGGTCACCAAGTTCTATGTGTTCGATCACTAAAAATAGCAATTTTACTCATTTTAGATTATTGCTGCTTATTTTAAAGTGTCCAAATGAAGGCTTACAGTACAAGCAGCTTGCTTTTTTTATTTCTTGTATTTAATTTTAAATTCAAAGGATTGAAACATCATACGGAAGAAAATAGACTCAAAATTCGTCAGTTTATAAAATCAGCACTGATATTAGTCGGTAATCTGTTTGCATACCTACTAAGTGTGAGAAATACAAAGGTACTGTGGGAAATATTTTTTAAATAGCTCTAATTAAAAGGTGTGGCATACACAAATGCACGCACACACATGTAGCACATATATGTATATTTAAACAGTCTTTTTTTGTCTTGGGTTGTTAAGTGTCATAAATGGTATTGAGCTTAAGTGGCATCAGAATTGAGAGACAGTGACAGAGATTACTTTGAGCTGGGGTGATGAGGGATGTCTTCACCAAGAAAGTAGGCAGGAGTTTAGCTTAGAAGGATGAGTAGACTTTATACATGTAGAGACAGATGAGAGAGTACTCTGTGGGTGTGTGTTGATTAGTAGTAAAGCTGAGCCCCAGGGGTTTAGATGTCTCACTAAATAGACTAGTGTTATGGGCAGAGAGTTCCCTGAATGGTGTTGCACAGTAGGGTGGAGTTAGGTGGATGCTAGTTTATGGAAGGTCTTGAATGCTAAGAAATTGGAACTTTTGGTTTTAGGTAAAATGGGTCTGTTGCTTTTGGAACCGGAGAGTAACTATCAAAGAAGATTTTATTTTCAGTAGTATCAGAGTTTTGTATTGAGTTCTTGCTATGTTCAGGGAACTGAGTTAGGTGCCAGGGGTACCAAGAGGCCTGAGACTGGTCTCTTCTTTCCAAAGTCTTACAGTCTCTGGCAAGTCAGGATCTTCCTATTTGTAAAAAGATGAATAACAATACCTTTATGAGGCAATATATGCCAATGAATAATACAGGGAGCCCTATAGCACATTAGATACTGAAATTGTTTGGAGAAGCCTTTAAGGAACAGGTGAAACATAAGCTGAGCTTAGATGGGTGAGTACAACTTGGATAAGTAATGTGGAGGTTGTTCTAAAAGCTGCAGAAGAATATAAATTTAGGAAAACTACAGTGGAGCAAGCAATATGGCTTCATTGTAACTAAAATGAGCTGATGAAAACTTACAGTAATCAGCATGTGGGGTGATGAGTCTGTTAAGTATCGTGACAGTAGAAACGAGATTATTTGAGAATTGTCAGGACTTGGCAATGATCAATATAGGAGCACAGAAGGAAAACAAATTGGTGGTGACCAGTAACTTGAGCCAGTAGAGGTTGTTTTGTGTCACACATTTTCATTTCCAGATAATGCTGGACTGCCAAGTACAATTGTCTGACAAAAAATTAGAGCGGGGTACCAAAACCTGGAAGACAAATGTGGGTTAAAAGCGCATAAAAATGGGTGACGCCAAAGAGGAGCAAAGGAGCAAATGGAGAAAAAGCCAAGAAGGACATATAACCGCTGCATTCATAGAGCCAAAGAAAGGCTGGCCATGGTGGTTATTTCAGTGTTCTTGAAGCAGTTGGAGGACATGCCATCTATGACTGCATACACGTCAGAAAAAGAAAACTGGGAAATGCTCAGTTAGGCAGATGTGAGTGGTCCTTTTTATGAGAGCGGTGGGCCTGTAGTCCAGATGATCGGATGTAAGGAATAAGTGTGTGTGTATAGAGGAGGGGATTGTTGAAGTGGAGGCAGCAGATTTACCCCAGCATTTGAAGAAGTTGGGATGTGCAAAGACAGGGACGGATATACATACATACATACATACATAAATACATGACAAGGCAATAGCTGAAGAGGGTAAAAGAAGGATATTTTAGTTAAATTTATCAAACATCAAGTGCCAGTTTTGTGCAAGGCACTAAGTGAGGGGCAGTGGAGGACAAAAAAAGTGATTAAAATATAGTGGGATTTTTGTCCCCCTGAAAAAGTGCTGCCTCAAGTTCTTTTGACTTTAGATGGGCAGTTCTTCTTAAATAAAATATTGGACTCTGATATTAAGCATGGAATGACAAAATCAGTGAGAGAACCACTGAAGATGAGGGAGAATTGGTGAATTGAAGTAGTAGTGAAAAAGAATGGAAGAAAACATGATGCGCAGCGAGAGAGACTGGCCTTCAAAAGGAAAGGACTTTCTCTAAGATGAGCATAAAGAAGGAAGAGAAGGAGGTCATTTTAGACCTGTTCTGAGCTAGAATAAGGACCCCAGGAAGTTTTTACTGTGAATGTCGTGTATAACACACAGTCTGGGGCTATGATTTCTGCCTTTGAAAAGTTCTAATGCAGTGAAACAATGAGTCATTCAGTGCTTATTTTTTATCCTTTAGGAGAAAAAGAATAAAAGTGACACACCTGGTTCATTAAAGATATTGGGTTTTGGCTGAGGTTTTGTTGTTTTTGTTTTTTGTTTTTTTTTTGAGACAGGGTCTCACTCTGTCCCACAGGCTGGAATGCAGTCGTGCAATCGTGGCTTACTGCAGCCACGACCTTCCTGGGTCAGGTGTTCCTCCCACCTCCATGACCTGAGTAGCTGGGACTACAGGAGTGCACCACCATACCCAAATAATTTTTGTATTTTTAGTAGACATGGGATTTCACCATGTTGCCCGTCTCAAACTCCTGGGCTCAAGTTCTGTCCACCTCAGCTTCCCAAAGTGCTGGGATTATAGGCACTTTTAATGTCTAATGTAATACCTATATTTTTAAAACTATAAGATAATGTGTGACTGTTTCAGTGTCTGCAGTTAGCTAGGATTTGTGAGATGTAGACTCATAGAGCTTAGAGTCTAAGAAGGGAGGTAAGGAAGACAAATGTGCAGGATCTTAATAAATGCTTGCCCGTTGACCTCTAATGGGAGGTAGAAAGTTTTGTGCCCACACCATACACATGGAATATTAGGGGAATTTAGAGGAAAAGAATTGGAGCAATTTCAGTTGAACAAGATTTTGAAACAAATTTGCCATATATTTATTTCAAGTCCCTATTTTGTTTTCTTCATAGACATTATTTTCTACACAGTTGGGAAATATAATTGTGTGCTCATACCTTTTGGTCCCCACTGATAACAGTATATAAAGAATTATGAACATGATTTTGGCCACTTAAATGAAAAGAATCACCTTTTTTTTTTTTTTGAGACGGAGTTAGGAAAAGCTTCTACAGGACTTGGAGCATGGGTGGGGCTTGGTTGGTGGAGGCAGGACTTGGAGCGTGGGTGGGGCTTGATTGGTGGAGGCAGGACTTAGAGCGTGGGTGGGGCTTGGTTGGTGGAGGCAGGATTTGGAGCGTGGGTGGGGCTTCGTTGGTGGAGGCAGGATTTGGAGCATGGGTGGGGATTGGTTGGTGGAGTATCTGGATGTGGCTCGCATTTTCCATTTTCTGCTTGTAAACTCGCTTTCAAGGTGTTCATACTTAATTTTATTGGCTATATTTTAAGTGCATATAACCAGAAAATAGGTGCAGGTCAATAAGAGAAAAGAGCTAATTAATACTCTACTTTGAGTTTTGTAGTCAAACATAGGAAGACATGTAGGAGGGGAAGAAAATAAACCTAATTTGGAAAGGAGGAAAAAAAGGCCCACTTTTTTTCTCTAAGATATTAAAAATATCATTTCAAGATTTTTTGTGGTAGAATGATTCTCTCCCTCTCTGTCCCTGTCTCTAGATATTTTGTGAAATTTTAGTTGGAAATAAAATTATAGAAGGGACTATTTGGCTATCATAGAGTAGGCCTGGAAAGTGATTTCTTCAAAGGCAATAACTAAAATTCAGTCACTCGAAAAGTTAATCTGAGAATTGCTTAATACTTGCTCCCACAGTATTGTTAAGCAGGGTTTGAGTTGAAGGGATTCCTATTGAGGGATATATTTAATGTCCTTCCTTTACCACCAACCCCTCCTCTCCCCACCTCCTACTTGGAAGAGGCAACAAGGCTTGCCCACAGCGGTTCCTGTAGCAGAGCTTGATGCAGCCTCGGCTGAGGTCAAGCACTCCTATTCCAGCCTCTTGAGGGCTTTCTCTATGTGTTGCCAGTGTGCTGGTAAAAATGACTTTAAACTCTTGTCAGCGCGGTTACTGGTGCATGCATCACAGTCCCACTCAAATAAACCTGTCACAACACAGAGTCGGCCGCTAGAGAAGAGTACAAGGGCAGGCCTCTAGCTTTTCATTCGAGCATCACTAAACGTGCACAGAGTGCCCAATTATTTCAGCATTACTGAGCAAGCCTACAGGAGGACCCAAGCCTTGCTACATTAGATTTTCTTTAGTAATTTGCTCAAGTACCGCTGAGGACACTTAAAGGGCTTAAAACGGTGGCTGCAACCGGTTTCCTTTTCTGGGTTGTTAATTCAGGTTTTCTCTTTCAAATTAACTCTCCCTGCATGCTGTGCAGTGGTTCTGGGAGAACTGTTTAACACTAATTTTCTCAATTTTCAGCTTTTTTTTTTGTTCAGCGTAACTGCTTTAACAGTTATTCACGTGTATGTTTTGATTAGAAATGTATGATAGTGAGGTCTTATTTTTTGAGATAAAGCCTTTTATGAGGTTTGTTAAAGAAATATGTTTGAATATCAACCATTAAAAGTTACTTATATAATTCCACCACTTAAAAATTATTTATAGTGTGTGTGCAAAACCTCCAAGTATGAGAAAGTTAGCATTTATTGACTATGCAGCTTCTTTCCTCCCTCCCCCTTTTAAAAATATATATGTTAATGATAAATCTTTCTTTCATAGCCGTTCGATTTTTTTATTGTATATTTGTGCCTCCCTTTCTGTTTCTGTTGGGGCAGGGCTTGGATGTAGGGGGCAAATTCAATATCTGTGTTTAATTTTTCACAGCAGCAACAACTCCAGGCCCAGCATTTATCACATGGACATGGTCTCCCCGTGCCTCTGACTCCACACCCTTCAGGGCTCCAGCCCCCTGCCATTCCACCTATCGGTAGCAGTGCCGGGCTACTGGCTCTTTCCAGCGCTCTGGGAGGTCAGTCCCATCTTCCAATTAAAGATGAGAAGAAACATCATGACAATGATCACCAAAGAGGTGAGTGACTCTCTTGGGATGCCAATCTGAGATTACCTGCCTGCTGCTGAGGGTAGGTTCTGGATGCCGTTGTTTATTCTTTCTGAATTTAGTTTTACCAATGACTAAACAAAGGATTTCCACTGAAGGGTAAATTAATTACTGCAAGTAGTCAGTTCAGTTGCCAAATGATATTCTAGTGGTTGGCAAGAGCTAACATACTCCCCAGAGGCAGAGGGGCCTGTTTCTGGTTATTGCCTTTGCTTTCTTGCTACCTCCTGTGTTCCCCAGGTCTACATCAGCAATGAAATCCCATGATGCTCTGTTCGAAGTAGCGTGTTGCATTAGTAGTTAATTTTGATGGAATTTATTTTGGGGAATGTCTTGCTGATAAATGCTCACTTGATATTTGACCAAATCAATTATTATTTATAAACAAAGAGCCTATATAGAGCAGTAAAAATCTCACAGGTAAGAAAACAATTTCAGTAGTCTTAGTAATTAAGAAGGTACAGACCAAATTAATGAAATCTGTTGGTTTAACTATCTCTTTTACCCAGTCTGTTTAGAAGCATGAAATTAACTAATTTCTTCCTGTAAGACCAACATAATTATTATGCAATTAATTGATTTAAAGGCCAGTTGTGCTCCTTCTAGGTTGATTTCATTCTTCCACTAAGGTAGATGATGGAGAAGAAACATTTTAATGTGACTGTTGTTTTCCTATGGTGCTTACTGAAAATTTTTATTAGTTAATGACAGAAGTGAAGATGAAAAAGTCTCTCCTATCATTCCTATCTGGGAATTTACTTAGCACATGGGTGATTCGTTGGCTTGAAAGGTGTAGTTCATAATTAAAAACTCATATCCCCATTTCAGCATCCTTAATATGAATTATAATATTAGTCAGTGATTTTTATCACATAAGCATAAATTTCCATCTCTGACATTAGAAACACTGTAATTTGTTATCCAGTTATCTTAATGCTATGGTACAGAGTTGATGCATGATTATAAATACTTTTTTTTTTTTTTGAGACAAAGTCTCACTTTGTTGCCCAGGCTGTAGTGCAGTGGCACGATCTTGGCTCACCGCAACCTCCGCCCCCCAGGTTCAGGCAATTCTCCTGCCTCAGCCCCCTGAGTAGCTGGGATTACAGGCATGTGCCACCATGCCCACATAATTTTTGTATTTTTAGTAGAGACCAGGTTTCACCATGTCGGTCAAGCTGGTCTTGAACTCCTGACCTCGTGATCCACCCGCCCCGGCCTCCCAAAGTACTGGGATTACAGGCGTGAGCCACTGAGCCCAGCCTGTAAATACTTTCTTAAGTGGAAAAATCTATAAGGAGCGCAGATAATAAGAATGTCTAGCTTTGGTTCTTCTGAAATTGTGTCAAAAGTAGATTGGTACTTTGTGAATTTGGTTGAACAGTATTAATAATTAACTTTACGGCACAGTTGACATCTGTGTAATTTATTATTTAGCAGAGATCAAGTTTGGTAGATTAGTATGATTTTATGTAAACTAACTAGTACTTCTCTTTTTTCTTCTTCCCACCACTTTATGTGCTTGTGTTGCTGCTGTTTTGCATATAGACAGAGACTCCATCAAGGTAGGACTCAAAATTTACAGACTGAAGAATGGCTTAAAAGGGCTGTAAATGATTTGAATGAATCTAGTAAAGCATTCTTTGACATTTAGAGAATGATTTCTTTTGCTTTACAAAGTAGTGGTTAACTGAACTTTTTAAAATTACCTTCAGGTGTGTGGTTGATTTTTTTTTTTTTTAAGGTCCCATTTCTCTGTCAGAATCAGAGATTTGTAGACCAAGGTTGAACTGCAAGATCTGTCTTGGACTGCTCATTTTATTATTTGCTATGTGAAAAAAACAAAACAAAACTGCTTTTCTTCACTTAGGCTCTGGCTGTAAGATAACAATGAAATGAAGTAAATAAATTGGTGTGTAAAGAAATACATATGAGTTTCATATTTAAGGAAACAGTTCCAACCTACAAAACTCTTTATCAAAACACTTATTTAAGTGAATGGTGTAATTTTTTTTATCACTAGAAATAATTTTCTCTTTTAAATTTAAGTGAATTTTTTTCACCAGATTTTTTTTTTCTTTTAAATTAACATTTTGGTTTCCAGTATAAGTTAATTCTCTTTAGGTTTTGTATCTGTCTTATCTGCCTTTTGTATCCCTTTTTAGACAAGTTGTGGGGAAAGAGGAAAAGTATTTAGGGCCTAATGATTTGGATATGCTTCTATACCTCCAGAACGAGATGTGCTAAGGATACCTGTGTTTATTTAGTAAGCAAACAAGAAAACCAGACTGCCATGGCAGGAAATGAGTAAAACATGAAAACTGACGTGATCACTTATGAACCAGATACAATATAAATACACCATTGTATTATGCATAATTGTATTACATATGTATTACATATGCGTTTATGTTACTTATTGGTTAGAAGGAAAGGACATTTCTCAAGCATTGGCTGAGGTACAAATTTGCCAATTTCTTTATATTTTACAACAGTTGAATGTTTTGCGGTATAGGTAGTTATATCTTGCAGTTTTTAATGGAATTATGTATATGAAGATTAAATCTTCCCCCCAAACCACTGTGCTAGCACTTTGAATGCCTTTTTACTCCTTCTTGTTTTACAATGAAAAGGAATTTTTTTTTTTAGAGCCCTTAAATAATGGAAAATAAAACTTGAGTCTATCTGTTTTACCCTTCAAGAATCTTTGTAATTTGAAAGGGCATCTGTACTCCCATATAAATGTCAACATTTACTATTATAACTGCACACACTGAATTATTTAATTATGCATTTACAGTTGTGTATTTTGTTATATCATATGCATATCAATACCTAGATTAAAAAAGCATTCTTATTCAAATTATATTAAGTGTTTCACACCTGTGTACTTAGGAAATATTAAGTAAATTCAGTGACTAGGATTAACTGATACCAGCCTTTGAAAGCCTGTCTAGTTATTCTGAGGTCATAATATAAACATTCCCTGCTTTCTTATTATAAATATATACCTTTAGGGAGTCCAGTGAACTAAACAAAAGCCTCCACTCCCAGAAGACTGTGAAAATATTTATACTTCAGTGCACACTTTTGTGTCAATTACATTTTCTTATTCTCTCATGCAAGAGTGGATGTGTTATGAAATCATCTATAATCATTCAGGGTGAGCCTGGAAATGAGTATCTATATAGCCAGAAGCCAGGGGAAAAACAAAAAAGAAAGGCTGATAATTTTGCCTTGATTTATTATGGAATGGCAACTATTAATAGATGTTTTGGTTGGGTACCATTCTCAAATGTGAAGTTGTATTATGCCGGGTCTGGGGCTGTCCTATAGTTGTACAAGGTAAAATAGTTTGCTAATTTTTCTGAATGTGTTCGGTGATGCTCAGAGAAGCAGTTTTAGTTGCTTGTTCCATCGATCGTCCTCCCATAAGTGGTTCCTGGTTAAGAGGGGCTTTTTACGACTGTCTGCTGTGTGACTCTAGATGGCTTTTATCAGCCAGAGCATGCCAGCTGCCTGCAGCTGGAGTTGAGCTTGTATGAAATAATTTATTTATGCAAGATAATACTCCTTAACATTTAACAGGTAATGAATGTGACATAAATTTCCTTCTTGCTTTTAATTTTTCCCTTTCCTTTTCTAATGTGCAAACAGGCAGCTCTGGTACTCTAAGTAATAAGTAATTTTTGGCCATCTGTCAAAAGGAAATTTCAATACAAATTTAAATTAATGGTGCCTGAAATTTTTTATAGCTCCTCTAAAAGCCTCTAATGTGCAGAAAATTCTGAATCTGCTGGTAGTAATTAGTGTTGCATGTAATGAGGATGTGGGCAATCTTATACAGCCCCAGTGGAACATTTTGATATGGTAGCAAAATTTTGATTTATACAAGGTTGTAGATGGGTTTAATTGTGAGAGACGCTTTAAAATGTTTTCTTGACGTTACAGATTGTTAAACAGGGCAGATTTCAGAATAGCTTATCAACTATAAATTTAAACTTACTGTAAAGATTCAAGTAATTAAGATACTTTACCTTTAGATGCCAAGTAAAATGAAAGAAATTCACTTGTTAACGTGTTGGGCCTTTTTTCTCCTCTGTCTTTCTCTTCTCGGAAGTTCTGTGGCCACTAAATCGCATACTGTTGGCTTTACTGAGCTTGTTTTCTATAGCTCCTATAGCCAAGTTCATTCCTAAGCCTGTTATTTGCAGACCTGTAGCTGAAGTTTTTAACAAAGGTGGAGAATGTAAATACGGATCTAAAGGAGAAAGCACTGTAGGAGCCCAAGGATCAATTTCCTTGGTGATGAGAAACTAGACCAGTGTGTGTTGTAGGGCTGTGGAGGTCAGGAGCCATGACACTTGCAGCCTTCCTTGCTTGTCACTTGGCTATCCAGTGACTCCATGTGCCTAACAGTAAGTCCCACATTTGAGGCCTGAAAATGGCAAGAAACACAGACTGTGATTTACTCTCACCCTTAATGGTAGGGCAGAAAGCCCAAATTTATCTCTCCAAAAGGAATCCAAAGTAGGTTAAGTGGGAGTGTTCTCACCATCTTTTGAGTATTGAGAACCATTTCTCTCATCCCTAGAAAAGGCATAAGTGATTCTAAGGACATGTTTTCTGAGGTGATGGAATCTTCCATTGCCCACCTCCTCTCATTGAGAGCCAAGGGGCAAAGTAATTGGCTCTAAAATGGTGTCAGAGGGGACATTCCCACATGCTGCCAGGAGCTTCCTACTTTATGGAGGTTCCGGTTCATTAAGAGGAGTCAGCTGCCCAGAGTCATTAGGTTTTTCATAGCACTCTCCAGTTTTTGAGTGACTGAACAAGGGTAATGATACAGAGCTGTGAAGACCAAAATTGCCTAAAACTTGGTAAGAATCTGAGGTTCATAAATTAGTGTTATTTTGCATTCCATCCCAAATGTCTACATAATTCCAGCTAGCAAAAATAGGCACCAAAATCAAGATCAGCTTAAATATAAGTCCCAGAATTCACCATCACCAAATGCTGGTAGCTCCATGGCCTCACCCAAGTTGCTATTGTGCATTCTCTATTGTTTTGTAAGTCCTTTTTATGTATCTTCCTGGTTCTCCTGTGTTTTATCCTGAGTGCAATCACCTTCTCAAGTCAGATCTATGAGGGATTTGCCTTTTTTATCTGTAAAATATAGCAGAAGTACAAATATTTTTTCCCTCTGTGCCTATGCTTACCCAGTACAAACATTTTTTCCCTCTGAGTGGTGGTGTTTTTATTTTTGTTATTTCATTGGAATGTCTTCAAGCCCAGAGTGCTGGATGCATCATCAAAGAGTGTGATCATTTTTAGTGACTTGTGCAGTGCCAAATTGATCTCCTAAAACTCTGTACTAATTTAAAATGCCAAATGCAGTGTTTGAATATGTTGCCACACAATCCGCCAATGTTGAACTTTATAGTTTTTGTAATTTTTGTTGGCATAATGAGTATGGATGGTGCACTTTGTTTTTTTTAATTTACCTATAATTATTTTTTAGCTAAATGCTTTTCTGTGGGTATATATACTTTTTCCTGTGCAAATTCCTTGATTTTATTTAAAGGTTTTTATGGTTATTCATTCATTATTTGTGTTTAAGGAAATGCCTTTTTATTCTGCCACGTGTATATTTTGGGGCATAGATGACTAAAACATCATACGTTGCTTTTTTCTATCTCACAGTTGTTCTGTTGACAATAAAGGTTTATCAGCGGAAAATTAGAAAAAGGTTACTTTTATGTTCAAATTGAAGGGCGTGATTCGGGCCAAGAAAGCACTTTTGCCTCATTAGTTGGATGTTACAGGTGAAAGTGGGTTTTTAGCCTGAATTAACAGAATGATTACTTCATACACCCCTTTAAGTAGGAATGTTACCATTTGGGAAATAACTTTGTGGGATAAATTTGTATTACTTCAGACTTTAGAAGTGTGTATTATAAAAAGACAAAGGCATAAAATAATAGAAAGCTAGATTGAAAAGGGTGGGATCGATGAACTCCACAAAACACTAAAGAACGTTGAAGCAAACAAAAGTCATGGGCTTTTGGTCTCTTTCCCCTCAGTAATCAGTAATCTGAGAAGAGACATTGTCTAATTGAGGGCCGTAGCACTTCCTCTTTCTACTCTAACCTAGGGAAAAATAAGGTGGATCCAGTGCCCACTCAGTCCTACTGATCTATGAGCAGCCCCCACTGCATGTATAGCTCATAGGTTAGATTTGACCAGTGAAGGTAGGTGGTGTTGTGCGTACCCTTATTTCATACCTGAAGAAAGGTTTAGAGGTTTGAAGGCCTGTCAGAGGTCACATAGCCAGTGCCATCCTCAAAGGGAAGGGAAGCTCTTTGGGTGACCCAGTTTCATTCTAAGTTATTAAAAATTTGAAACTTACTACAAAGTACAGAGAACCCCCTATACACCCAGCAACTAAGTATAAGAGCTATCAATATGTAGCCACGTTTTTATTCTTTTTTCTTTGCTGAAGTATTTGAAAACAAATCCCAGATAGTATACATTTTGTTCCTATCTACTTCAATATGCAAAATGA